AAATCTTAAAAAAAATAAATAAATAAATAAATAAAATAAAATTATCGAACTCATCTGTTCTTGCCAGGCGCCAATTTTAGGGATTAGGTGACCTGGGATTGCTAGAAGCACAGGTAAGAGGACAAGTTGATTTGAAATGTAATAATCTGTCTGTGGTCTGTATTTGGACTGTCCACTTGGAGGACGACTTCTACAGCGGAACTGTAATCACAGGCTCATTCCCTTCCACGGCACAATATGCGCTGATCCCCTGCGGGGGCTGTGTTTATAAAACGTCATCCAAGTTGAATATTTGTGTAAGCAAACGTAATTAGGGAGGTAAATACAGGGCAATAAAGGAAAAAAACACAGCGCTTTGCAAAGCCAGGCTGAGGCGATCCCGATCACTCGCTCTGGCCCCAAGGCCCCGCCTGCTGCTACTGTCACATCTTTGTCCTGGGTGGGAGGGACTCACAGAGAAAGGGTCATCAGGGCCGTTAGGAAATGAAGGGTCTTTTTCCTGACTGAGCCCTGGGACGAGTGAGATCAATCTTTTCAATTCTCATTTAGGCTGACAGCAGCGTCACTGGTGATGGAGGTTAACAGGGTAGAAAATAATGAAACAAGGTCGACAGCTGAGCTTCTGGCTGCCTTGTTACCAGGCCGGGGCCGGTGGAACAAAGGAAGCGACCTGGCCCCTGTGGGCCGGGAGAGAGCTGGGCATGGGCTTGGCTGGCTGATTTAGCACAGCGCCGGCCCTTTGTGTCACATCAGTTAGAGATAATCTCGGCACGGAGGCTGCACTCCTTCTGTACTAATAGATCCCGCAGACCTCGGAACAACGGGGAGGCCAGCCTCTGGCCAGACTGGGGAGGGTATCGTCAGTCACCCCATTCTACAGATGAGGAGGTCCAGCCTGCAAACCTGCAGGAGAACCTAGACTTGTCCACTTTTGGCCTGTGGTCGCCACCAGCAGGAGCCCAGTATGGCTGGGCTTTGGGAGTTTGTCCCAGAACTGCTTCTCACTGACTCGTGAACCTGGGCAAGTCTCTGAACCTCCGCATTTGCCTACTTCAGCTCCCACTTCAGGGGCTGCTTGGAAGAGCCGAGGCAGGCCAAGTGTCTGGCACAGGTCTGGCATCCAGCAGGTACTCATTAAATGGTGGCTCAATCTTGATCCTGAAGAATGGGACCCCCTCCCCATTCCTGAGCTTGGTGGTAGCACGCGGGTGGGTGTTCCTTCACCACCCCACCAAGTCATGCTCTGCCCATGCATCTGCAGAGGGTGGGAGTAGCTTCCAGGCCACATGTCCTTCCTGGGCTTGTCTGGGGCAGCAGCTCTGTCTGCCAACTTCTCCCTGACTCAGGATGCTCTTTGACTTAATACCTCCTCATGAGTCTCCAGTTCCCCTCTAGCAGTGCAGTCTCTTCGGACGACTAGAGGCAGCACTTCAAATTCCGCAAGCTGTCCCAAGATTCTTGTGGGCAGGTGGCCCTTGCTTTAAGTGTCAGATAAAGATCTGTCATAGCAAAAGGAACTGGCTGAGATCTTAGAGGCCATCCTAGGGGTCAGGGCTTTTCTGGTGGCCAAGAACAGAAACCCGTCTCAGCTGGCTTGCAGGAGGAAAAGGACTTACCTCCAGCCTTGGCTGGCTTCAGGGGCACAAAAGAACTCCATCTCTCTGCAACTCTGATCCAATTTTCTCTGTTTTCTAACATTTTTTTGGCGTGGGGTGAAGGGCTCTCTCGTAGTCTCTCTCCATGTGACAACCACATGGCCCCCTGCAGCTCTGGGCTCACATCCCACCTGCTTCAAGTCCCGTGGAAAGTGAGAGTGCCCTTCTCCCAGAATGGAGTCTTCTGGGCTCTGATTGCCCAGCATGGGCTCACACTCTTGAAGCTGCACCAGCAGCCAGCGAGATGCAGTGCTCTGATTGACTGGGCCTGGAAACATCCCCACCCCTGAGGCCAGGTGTGCATTCAACTCCACCCAACCCATGGAGTCCTCTTATAAGAAGATGGGAGAGGGGAGCCTGGGTGGTTCAGTAAATTAAGCATCCAACTCTTGATTTCGGCTCAGGTCATGATCTCAGGGTCGTGAGATCGAGCCCTGCATCGGGCTCTGCTTAAGAGTCTCTCTCTCCCTCTGCCCCTCCTCCCCCCCTCCCTGCCATTTGCTCTTGTTTTTGCTCTGTCTCCCTCTCTTAAAAAAAAAAAAAAAAAAGAAGGGAGAAATAAAACAATAGATGTCCACCAGGCCTCTGTTCCAGTCCCTTTATCATCCTCTGTAGTTGTTCTCCCTCTGCTAGATGTCCCTCATAAAGGGTCTTCATTACCTCTCAGGATGGCTCATTCCATTTGGGGACAGTCATCAACAGAAAATTCTCCCTAGTGTTGAGATGAAAGCTCAGTGTTGACACTCATGGTCCTGGTCCCATCCTGAGGGCCACACAGATCAATCCACATGGAAACTTGTCTTTTGCTTGAGGACAGAAATCATGACCCCCCAACCAAGTCTTCTCCACCTCTGGGTAAATAGTCCAGGTCACTTCAGTTTTCCTCTGTGATTTGGCTTTGTGTTTTCCCCCTCACCTAGGTCATGTCTCAGGCTTCCCCAGCCTGCACAAGTTAATATTCAGAACCATTCAGAATACTCCAGGAAGGTGTGACCAGCTAAGAGTAGAGCAGGGCTCCCTAGCCACCTTATTTCTAATAATGAAACCTATGCAGGCGTTTGCCTTTTTGACCTTAGTCTCATCACATGGTTGGCCCCCTCTGAGCTCCCCACTTGAATCCCTGGGTATTTTCATGCCAACTGTTTTTTAATCTATCTTACGAATTCTGCACTTGTTTCTCTATATTTGGTCTTTTAAAACTCCATTTTGTTAGAGTCTGGTCAAATGGTATCAGTGTTTTTATTTAAGTGATTTTTCAAGCAGCAATAGGGTAACTTTTCCAAGAGGTCCTAATTCCTCCTCTGTGGGGAAAGCCTGTTTTATAGCTTCTCCATGTCTCCCTTTGTATTACCTTCTGCTGTGTGTCAATTCTTTAACCCCGTGTTTGAGTCTTCCTTACCTTCTTAGTGGAGAGGTGGAAAGTGGGTCAGAGGGTTGAGGATGCGTTCACAGTGGAGATGACCTTTGAGATGGGTGTTGAAGGATGAATAGGAGTCTGCCAA